TGTGTGTACTCTGCAGTAACAGTATGTGTGTACTCTGCAGTAACAATATGTGTGTACTCTGCAGTAACAGTGCATGTGTACTACTCTACAATAACAGTGCGTGTGTACTCTGCAGTAACAGTGTATGTGTACTCTGCAGTAACAGCACAAGTGTTCTCTGCAGTAACAGTGCATGTGTACTACTCAACAGTAACAGTGTATGTGTACTCTACAGTAACAGTGTATGTGTACTCTGCAATAACAGTACGCTGTACTCACGGGAGTTCTCGGAAGAGCAGGCTCTGATCTGATGGAGGAGACTTGAACTCCTGACAACTGAAACAGGAGAAGGAGTCAAACATAGAACTGACAGCGCTACAGAGAAGCTGCTCAGTAAAGAACAATTTAACAAAACATGATAAGGAACACATTAATAAACCGAACACATTAATAAACCGAACACATTAATAAACCGAACACATTAATAAACCGAACACATTAATAAACCGAACACATTAATAAGCGTCAGGTGTGGTTGCCCCTGTGTGAACATTTAAACTACTGGACACAGAAACAACACAACCTGTGTTAGCATTAGCTCGAAGGTCAGTCAGAGATCGATGAAAAACAGACGTTTCACTTTTCAGACACGCACAAAACGATGCGAGATAAAGTATTGAACCTTCAGGAAGCAAACACCTAAATAAAAACTGATTTAAACTAAACTTACTGTTAAAGCTTCTTCCAAAACCTCCGCGTACAAACCTAACCAGCGAGGCCGCCATGTTTGTTCTGGAGTCAGGCTGCGAGTCGCCCCCTGCAGGTCCGGAGGAGGAAGGACGCGATGCTGGCGTGGTGAAACCATAGATATAAACACTAGATGCCTCACTGGCTGCTGTGGCGCGGGATTTTCGGCCGCCATCTTGAAACGGTCGTCCTTATTAGGTTAAAGCAGATGTTTCAGCACTTCGCAGCTTATTTCTGTTCAGATCGACGGACTGTTGACGTCAGGTCTCGTGGGATAACTTTTCACAGTAAGATGAACATATTATTGTTAGTATTTTGTGAATATAATATTACTGTACTGTATTTATGTCCACCAGCTGATGTGATGTTCAGTGTAACACGGTGTTCAGCTGCAATGAAGCTGACTGAGATCTGATGACAGGAATATTTTTCTAACAAGCATATTCACTATTTCAGTAGCTTTGGTTCATTATCAACAGATATGTATCATAATTGGAGTTTTGTTTAAGTTCTAGGAAATAAAAAAATTAAACTAGGGAGAATATAGGAAATAGAAAATAAGCTTGACCTCCTCTGTACAATGTTTTTGTGTAGACACAAATCTCCTGTTTTCATTTTGAAGGTTTCCCAAAGAACAAGATGTGAGGAAGAGGAGGAAGTATCTTTGAGGAGGATTCATCTGAGCAGTGAGGATTTTAAACTGGAGGATTTTGATCAAACTGATCAGACTGTCCGACTGAGAGATGGTGTGGTACCATCGGTTCATCTTCAAAGAGTAGGAGCATTATAAGTTCATTAGGGTTCATAAATTTACATATTTTATTATCAGTCACAAGGTGAGCCACATGAACAGGTAACTATAGACTGTAAAGTTCATATTCATGATGCTTTTTCATTTCAGCTTGAAAACTGCAGGACTACAGGAACTCAACAAAAACTGGAGCTGCTCTGTCTGTGGCCTCTCAGGAACGTGCACGTCACACACACAACCTCGGCCTCATGATGTGAGTAATTTTAAACTTGTATTTTTTCATTTAGCCTTTATTTATACAGGTAGTCTCATTGAGTCACGAGAACTCATTTTCAAGAGAGACCTGTTTAGGAGCAGATGGTGGGGGTTGAGTGCCTTGCTCAGGGGACCAGGGTGGAGGCAGGTGTGGGTGTTTCACCTTTTCCACCTCATTTTGATGTTGACGGTACCGGGAGTTGAACCTGCGAATTTCCGACCACAGGCCCATCTTCTAACCTCTGCTCCACCACTCCCTCACATAACATCATATCATAATGGTCATATTAAAATCTCACTGGTTTCCTTCCAGATGTGTTAAACAGCTTCTGGTCCCCCTGATGTTTACAGGTGGCTGTGGTCAGTGGATGAAAAGCCTGGCATGAACAAGATGATGCTGGAGATCATCATTTGACGAGAGCTCCCACCTTCTACCTGTGAAGAACAAGAGCAGCTCAGTGATTCCCTCAAGGCTCAGTGAAGGTGCTGAGAGCTGCAGAGAGGCTGATTCATGGAGCTTCAACACAGCAACCTCCAAACATGTCCACCCTCACACACATCGTCCATGAAGACACTGGATCAGAGCACAAGATAATAAGACACTGATAACAACAACAACTACACACATTCACAAATGATTCATCCATCCATCCATCCATTATCTTTACCCGTTTATTCCATTTTGGGTCATGGGGGTCGCTGGTGCCCATGTCCAGCAATCACTGTGCGAGGGGCGGGGTACACCCTGGACGGGTCGCAAGTCCATCACAGGGCCACATAGAGACAAACGAGACAAACAACCATTCACTCTCTCTCTCACACCTAGGGACAATTTAGAGTTACCAATCAGCCTAACATGCATGTTTTTGGTCTGTGGGAGGAAACCGGAGCACCCGGAGAAAACCCACGCATGCACGGAGAGAACATGCAAACGCCACCCAGAAAGGCCCCTGGACCGGGGTTTGAACCAGGGACCTGCTCGCTGAGAGGCAGCAGCTCTACCAGTTGCGCCACCGTGCTGCCCACAAATGATTCATACAATTTTTTTTTTTTTTTATTGTTTGTTTGTTTTACAATTGAAAAACAGTTTGTTGTCCACTGTTGTCATCACTCTTTGTTAAAATCCAGGTCTCTCTTTTGTAAATGAGTCCTATTGGCTCAATGGAACTAACCTGTATCAATAAAGGTTGAATGAATATATAGATATACATAATGATATATATGATATCTATGGGTGAAATCATGACTGCTATCGTCTATTGGCGCTGACGAGCTGTAGGGCCGCCATCTTGAAATGGTCGACCGCTCCACTCAGTGTAACCTGTTTGACGGGAGCAATGAAGTATTTGCGCGTTTAATCATCCATCCGTTATCTTTACCCGCTTATTTTAGGGCTCTGGCTTATTCCATTTTGGGTCACGGGGGTCGCTGGTGCTCATGTCCAGCAATCACTGTGCGAGGGGCGGGGAACACCCTGGACAAGTCCATCACAGGGCCGCGTTTAATCAGTCATCGCTAAATACTAAACTCATTCTCACGATTTTTTCCTCTGTAAATCTTAGGAGTACAGCCATTAAAGATGAACACATGGTTCAGTGTATTTAAATATTCTTGGTGAGGTTGACATTAATAAAATATTCTAATGTATGACAAGTTTAGCAAAACACACAATCACTGATGCATTTTTAAGATCTATATTTTATTTATTTACGCACACACATATATATATATATATATACACACACACACACATATATATATATATATATATACATACATATATATATATACACATATATATATATATATATATATATACACACACATACATATATATATAGATAGATATACATACATATACATTATCTATATCTTTCTATATGCACATGTATAAACTATACATACACATCTTTATCCACCCACACACACACTTATCTGTTCTGAAACTGCCATATTTCACATGTACATTAAATTTTTACATAAGCTAAAACCCCTGAAACAGGACAGTTTTGCAGAGCTTTTTTTCTTGTGCTGCCTTTCTGCAGGTCAAGAGAGGAGACTTTTGCAATGTGGTGCATCCTTATCTTCAAAAACACAGACACAACTAATGACAACAAGTCAGAATAATGATTATCAATGCCAAATTGTGTCTCCTCAATGTGTTCCCCAAGCAGGAAAACATCCTCGGTTCCAATTTCTTCTCAGACAATGTGTGTGACGGTCGACACGTTTTGAGGTTGCTTTGAAGCTCCACGAATCACCCTCTCTGCAGCTCTCAGCACCTTCACTGTGCCTTGTGAGGGAATCACTAAGCCACCATGGTTTTTCAGATTTAAAAGGTGGTAGCTCTCGTCAAATGATGATGGTACAGCATCTTGGACCAAACTCGCATGACACACATCACAGCACAGTTTTCGCAGAATCTTCCGGAGTACAAATCCTGCTATGTAGACCAGAGCATTTTCCACCAGGCCACCAAACTTAGTGGGAAGGTAGTTATGGTCACGCACAACAGCCGAAATGCTGGCGAAAGGAGATGGATGCTCTTCCGCAGTTTCAACAGAGGACATCTCCACAGCAGACAGGGACACGGTGTCATCTTGGGCTGCCACATTGCCTGTCTCACCAGGTGTAACCCCACATCGAACCATCAGCCGGCGAAAAATGGCCTGGAACTGGCTTGCAGATGGATTGTTATTCCAGCCACCTAGAATGGAAAACAGGGATAAAATATATTACTCACTAGACATCACACAAAAAAATATTCATTAATTATAGTTTATGAATTTTGTAACTGAAAGAACATCAACAGTACCTGATGCTCTGATCGAATTAAATAGGAGCTCCAAGTGATCTTGGCTGAACCTGTATGTGAGGACATACCGCTGAACTTGGAGCAATTCGGGAATCATTAGCATTAACGCGTTGATGTTAATGACAAATCCGTTGACAAACAAGAACCTGCAAAAGAAAAAAGTTTTATTACTCTAAACATGGCAAAATAAGACACACCAAGAAAGCACCAAAAGCATAGTCTTGTTGCTTCAAAGCAGTAAAGTGAATTTTCAGTAATCACCAATATACAGGTCCTTCTCAAAAAATTAGCATATTGTGATGAAGGTCATTATTTTCCATAATGTAATGATAAAAATGAAACTCATATATTTAAGATTCATTGTACACCAACTGAAATATTTCAGGTCTTTAATTGTTTGAATACTGATAATTAAGGCATACAGCTCATGAAAACCCAAAATGCCTGTCCCAAAAAATTAGCATATCATGAAAAAGTTTTCTAAACAAGCTATTAACCTAACCATCTGAATCAACGACGTAACTCT